GTCTATATTTTAATCCTGAAGTCTTAGTCCTTGCTCAACAACCCAACTAAACTGCTTCACAGCCACTATTGCGTGTGCCTTCTCTATGGTTTCTCTGGTCTGTATTGCCTAGTCCCAGCCCCATATATTCAGGGTGCCTTATGGGACTGGTCAGCCTGCATTTTACAAGTTCACAGGTTCAAAAAGTTCAATTTTTACTGTGGAATAAATGGTCATATATCACAGGTTAGTTTATGTGTCAGTTGTATATGTACGTGTTGTAAGGTGCATACGTATGATTTCTTACCTTCTTATAGTATTTATCTCAGGTGGGATGAATATATGTCACATGACTGATCTTATTCAAGTAATGTAGTACGACTACATTTGCTTAAATACATTACATACGTAAGTTTATCATAATCTTAAATAGCATTTTCATGTGGAAGTTACTTACCTTATTTTGAAATAAGTATGTGTACATATATTTTTTACCTTTAAATTAAAGTTCAGCCACCAACCTATTTTATTGTATATGTATTCATCTTGGTATCTGTTGTGTATGTATTATGTTATTTGTCGGACCCGCACATTGGAGGAACATCAAATCTTCAATACATAACAAAACCGTAGTTGGCTCAATCACTGTTTAATGGAGAACTGGCACTGCCTCACACAGCTGCCTAGGTTACCACAACATAATGACGTCACACCTAAAGTGACGTCACTGCACGTGCGCATTGGCGCACTTACAATGTAAACATACCTAACATGCACAACATTTCTCCCCCTTAAAAGAAATTACTTTCTACTTCTCTAACCAATACATTTACAATATTCAGAACACAGTACTATGAGCTATTTTCTAAAGTTATAATTTAACAATGTTCAACTATAAAATATAACAATATGCAACACACTCCGCCCACCATTCAATAAAATTTAAACATTGTTCCTATTATTAACAACATTTATAAAAACATAACAGTGAAAGTATAAACAATCATATTATTATGATAAACTCATATATATATGATATCTGCTACACATTGCTGAATACTTTATTCAATGACTTAATTGTCAAAACTGTCAGTTTCTACATTGTGTTCTCACAGGGTTAGTCTATCGGGAGGTTTTCTCACTCTTTCTGAACGTCTCACGGTTTGTTTTGCTGGTACATTTGCAATTGTCACCTCACTGTCTTCACACTGGTGTTCATCACATTGCTGTGATGCACGAGGTATTACGATAGGGTCGCCTTTGTTGACCCTGATACTTTCTACAGTCCCTGCACTACAGTCACTTTGAACAATCATGTTCTCGTTACCATGGTTACTAGTTGCATCTCTACACCTTAATTGGTCAATATGACGCTTGACAGTTCTGTTGCCAATGTCAACATCATAATGTCTTTCACCACATTTTGTCATCACCTTGCCAGCAGTCCATTTGTCTTTTTGTTGTACTCACGCACCCACACCTTATCATTGTCATTTAGCTGTCTTGTGTCGCCAGGTTGACACAATGAAGAAGACTGTTTTGTAGCAACAACATCAGCATGATTAGGCTTGATTAAGTCAAGTCTACATCTTAGTTCTCTTCCAAGAAAAAGTTTTGCTGGAGTTTCTTGAATTGTGCAATGGGGACTAGAACGATAGGCTAGCAGAAACCTATCAATCTTCTTCTGTAATGTTGTATCATCCCCTCTAGTTGATTTCATAGCTTGTTTGAAGGATTGAACAGCTCTCTCAGCAAGTCCGTTTGTAGCAGGATGATATGGAGCAGATAAGATGTGTTTTACACCATTACTTCTCAAGAATGTTTCAAACTCATTTGACACAAATTGTGGACCATTATCTGTAACAACTTGCAGTGGTAATCCATATTTCGCGAACAAACCTCTCATCACTTTCACTGTCGCATCAGCAGTAGTTGAATTCATAACAATCACCTCTAACCATTTGGAATGAGAATCTACAACAATGAGGTACATGTGACCCATGAAAGGACCAGCAAAGTCCAAATGAATGCGACACCATGGTTTTGATGGCCATGACCAATGATGAACAGGAGCTTTTGTTGGATCATTTTGAAGATTCTGGCATGTAATACACATTCTTGCAGTACTTTCAATATCAGCATCTACTCCAGGCCACCACACATAACTTCTAGCAACTGATTTCATTTTCACCATTCCAAAATGACCACCATGTAACTCATTTAGAACACCGTTTCTGAGTTTAGAAGGAATCACTACTCTCATTCCCCATACAATGCATCCTAATTGAATGGAAAGCTCATATCTTCTTGAGTGAAATGGTTTCATTACTTTGTTCTCACTGTGATCTTTATCCCAACCGTTCATCACTGCCATGTACACTTGTGAAAGAACAGGATCTCGCCTTGTCTCATTTCTCACATCACCTGCTGTAATAGGCAGATGTTCAAACTGACTTGCATAGAACAAATCTACATCATCACTCACACATTTTGTTGTATCAGGTAGAGGTAAACGAGACAACACATCAGCATTTGCATTGGCAGAGGAAGATTTGTACTGAATTTTGTAATCATATGCACTGAGAATCAATGCCCATCTCTGTAGACGAGCAGCAACTAATGATGGTACTGACCGTCCCTCACCAAACAGGGCAGTGAGAGGTTGATGATCTGTCACGAGTGTGAAATGCCTACCATACACATACTGATGAAATCTTTTCACACCAAATATAATTGCTAGGGCTTCTCTGTCAATTTGTGAATAACCCTTTTCAGCCTTGTTCAGTGTTCTTGAAGCAAATGCAATCGGTCGTTCAGTACCATCACTCATCACATGAGACAACACAGCACCCACGCCATAGGAGGATGCATCATATGCCAATGTTATTGGCAACAATGGATCATAATGACACAACACATCGGAACTTGCAATTTTTGCCTTAGACATTTTGAAAGATTTCTCACATTCAGTTGACCATAGCCATTTCTTGTCTTTCTGCAACAGTTCGTTTAACGGGTGAACGATTGTAGAAAGGTTCTGGATGAATCTGCCATAGTAGTTGACTCCACCGAGAAAGGAACGTAGTTGTGTCACATGTTCAGGTCTTGGAGCACTGATGATAGCTTTCACCTTATCTTCTGAAGTATGAAGTCCTTCTTTGTCAATAACATGACCGAGATACTTGACTGAGTCTACAAAGAATTTACACTTATTTTGTTTTACTCTCAAGCCGAATTGTTGTAATCTTGACAAAACTGCATCCAAGTTCTGTAAGTGTTCTTCATCATTTGAACCGGTCACTAGAATATCATCTTGATAATACTTTCTGCAAACCTTGAAGAATTTGGTCCATTGTAGCTTGAAAAATTGCAGGAGCTGAAGCAATGCCGAAAGCAAGTCTTGTGTACCTGTAGAGTCCTTTTGGAGTATTGATGGTGAGTAGTTTCTGTGAGTCTTCATCCACCTCCATTTGTTGATAAGCATGAGCAAGATCAATCTTTGAGAATTTCTGACCTCCGGCAAGTTGAGCGAACATGTCTTCAATCTTGTTTTGTGGATACTGGTTCACATTTAAAGCTGGGTTTACAGTAGATTTGAAATCGCCGCATATTCTGACAGATTTGTCAGTCTTGACCACTGGAACTATTGGTGTAGCCCACTCAGAATGTTCTACTTTGATAATCACGCCATTTTTCTCCATTCTTGAAATTTCTTCATTCACTCTATCATGAAGTGCATAAGGCACAGGCCTAGCTTTCATGTATTTAGGAGACATGCCATCTTTCACTTCTAAATGGGCTTGATTCCATTAATTGTACCCAGTCCATCAGAAAATACATCACAGTATTTCACAAACATTTCACTGAGTTGATCTTCACTTGACATTTTGTGACACATGTTGACATTACTTCCTAATGATTTCCAGTCAATATTTACGTATGGTAACCACGCCCTCCCCAGTAACGGAGGACCTTTTCTCTGCACGACATGTAGTGGTAACTGGTTTACTCTTTCACCATCACGAACGTCAACATGTATGATACCAAGATTTGTGACAAGCTCACCTGTGTATGTTCACATTGGGATTGGCAATTCTTGTAAGCTGCATTCTGAAAAGTTCTGTCGCCTTCAGTAATGATAGAACTTCTTGAGCCAGTATCTAACTCCATCTTTAGATCACGTCCATTTACATTCACTGTCACCCATATGATATCTGCAGCACCGGGAATAGTGAACAAATGATTTAGACAGTCACCTAAATCATCTAGAATGTCATCTTCATATTCATGGGTTGAACAAAGTTCTTCATTGATAGCATTTACACGAAAAGTTGGACGCCTACCGTTTCTGTTTACATTGCTGGAGCTAGCACTTCCTGTTTGACAAAACCCGGATGTTGAACTTTGACCTGACCTTTAAATCCATTTCTTCGCTTTGCATACCTCCTGAATATGGCCTTTCTTTTGACAGAATGAGCAAACTGTATCTTTGAAATTACAAGTATCAGCTAAATGCGAAGGCTTTCCACATCTATAGCAATAACGTTCATACCTTGCATTAGATCTTCTGTTGTTGAAAGAAAACACCTCTGACTGTGATTGTTCCTTCGGTAATCCGTTGCGGCACAATTCTTCTGAATCTTTCGCAGCTAATTCCATTGAATTTGCAATTGAAACTGCACGTGCGCATTGGCGCGCTTACAATGTAAACATACCTAACATGCACAACAGTATCCACTGAGATAGTGTGCGATGTACAAATGTAATTATCACCCTACTCCCTCTAGTTATAATCAATGTTTGTCAGTTTATATTATGACAAATCTTCATTGATATTTACCGCAAACTATGGGTAATTAGAATTGATCATAGTAATAAATGTGATCATAATAAGTTATATTTATAATGTTTTATTAGTACATGTTAGTATGTGAAGTTATTTTGCATATTTTAACCTGCGTTTGTGTGATTTATTCACAAAACTCCTCCAGTTATACATGTCTGAATGTGGTGGGACTTACACACACTCCCATCTGTTGGCCGAGAAGAGTAGATGTACAGCATGGTCATCTAGCTCTGCCTTCTTCTGCAGATATCCATTGATCATCTGACCAATTACAGTTGTCCTGTCTGAAACAGACAATGTGGTCTCAGATACAGATATGTAGGGATGGGTATTGGGGGTTTAAAGTGTAACAGTATCACAATATTTTGTGATGCACAAGGCTGTATTGCGATACGTATATAAATGGTTCATAAATGGAACAAAACAAGATGTACAACATGATGTTTACTCAGTAAATAAATACGCAGCCATCTTGGGGCCCCAGATGCATGCTCCGGGGCAGCAAAGGCATTTGACAAGTATATAACAATAAACACATCCTAAAAATCGCTATTTGAATCACTCAATATATTTTGAGCATGACAAAATGATATTGTGATATGTACATCATGGACAAACCTCAATTTAGCGATATACCGAGTAACACCGCACAGGTCTGTGAACTTCACCATTATCATCACCCTTCTAATCAACCGAATAAAAAAGACACATACCCCGCAACAACAATAGTATTGCAATGGTTCATAAGACTATTCTCTCACCAAACTCACTCATTCACTTAATCTACCACCATGAAATTATACCCAAAATTGTATCTTGCCGTCATGTGCTTTGTTTCGAAATCTGTTTTCGGTCAGCCATATATTAGAGATATAATGTTACCACCAAGTCAGCGACAACCGAGAGAATGACTATTTTCACTGCGTTTAGCGTTCAACAAGGTGAACAGACATAAGCAATGGTTACAAGTGTGTATACTGATGTCAAAATTCCCAGTGGGCAATAAAGTAATTTTTGACACAATCATAGTTTGAAAACTTCAAAAGGAAACTGTTATCTTCATGTTTACTCCAAGAGCGCTCCAGATAGATACTGTGCTGTAGATTTCATGAAAAAATATTGAACGGTTTCTGAGTTATGCTCTGGAAACAAAACGTGACGGACGGACGTATGGACGGACGGACGGAGCCCGTTTTTATATCCCACGCCAACTTCGTGGACTGGTTGCCACCTTGCATGATCTTAGCTCGGGAGACTGATTGCCACCTTGCATAATTTTAGCTCGGGAGACTGGTTGCCACCTTGCATGATCTTAGCTCGGGAGACTGATTGCCACCTTGCATAATTTTAGCTCGGGAGACTGATTGCCACCTTGCGTGATCATAGCTCGGGAGACTGGTTGTCACCTTGCATGATCTTAGCTCAGGAGACTGATTGCCACCTTGCATAATTTTAACTCGGGAGACTGATTGCCACCTTGTATGATCTTAGCTCGGGAGACCGATTGCCACCTTGCATGATCATAGCTCGGGAGACTGATTGCCACCTTGCTTGATCTTAGCTCGGGAGACTGATTGCCACCTTGCATGATTTTAGCTCGGGAGACTGATTGCCACCTTGCATGATCATAGCTTGGGACACTGATTGCCACCTTGCGTGATCATAGCTCGGGAGACTGGTTGCCACCTTGCTTGATCTTAGCTCGGGAGACTGATTGCCACCTTGCTTGATATAAGCTCGGGAGACTGATTGCCACCTTGCATGATCTCAGCTCGGGAGACTGATTGCCACCTTGCATGATCATAGCTCGGGAGAATGGTTGCCACCTTGCATGATCAAAGGTCGGGAGACTGATTGTCACCTTGCTTGATCATAGCTCGGGAGAATGGTTGCCACCTTGCATGATCAAAGGTCGGGAGATCGATTGCCACCTTGCATGATCAAAGGTCGGGACACTGATTGCCACCTTGCTTGATCATAGCTCGGGAGACTGATTGCCACCTTGCATGATTTTAGCTCGGGAGACTGATTGCCACCTTGCATGATCATAGCTTGGGACACTGATTGCCACCTTGCGTGATCATAGCTCGGGAGACTGGTTGCCACCTTGCTTGATCTTAGCTCGGGAGACTGATTGCCACCTTGCTTGATCATAGCTCGGGAGACTGATTGCCACCTTGCATGATCTCAGCTCGGGAGACTGATTGCCACCTTGCATGATCATAGCTCGGGAGAATGGCTGCCACCTTGCATGATCAAAGGTCGGGAGACTGATTGCCACCTTGCTTGATCATAGCTGGGGAGACTGATTGCCACCTTGCATGATCAAAGGTCGGGAAACTGATTGCCACCTTGCTTGATCAAAGGTCGGGAGACTGATTGCCACCTTGCAAGATCTCAGCTCGAGAGACTGATTGCCACCTTGTATGATCTTAGCTCGGGAGATCGATTGCCACCTTGCATGATCAAAGGTCGGGAGACTGATTGCCACCTTGCATGATCAAAGGTCGGGAGACTGATTGCCACCTTGCATGATCTCAGCTCGGGACACTGATTGCCACCTTGCATGATCAAAGGTCGGGAGACTGATTGCCACCTTGCTTGATCATAGCTCAGGAGACTGATTGCCACCTTGCATGATCAAAGGTCAGGAGACTGATTGCCACCTTGCTTGATCAAAGGTCTGGAGACTGATTGCCACCTTGCAAGATCTCAGCTCGGGAGACTGATTGCCACCTTGCATGATCTCAGCTCGGGAGACTGGTTGCCACCTTGCATGATCTTAGCTCAGGAGACTGATTGCCAGCTTGCATGATCTTAGCTCGGGAGACTGATTGCCACCTTGCTTGATCTTAGCTCGGGAGACTGATTGCCACCTTGCATGATCTTAGCTCGGGAGACTGATTGCCACCTTGCATGATCTTAGCTCGGGAGACTGATTGCCACCTGGCATGATCATAGCTCGGGAGACTGATTGCCACCTTGCATGATCATAGCTTGGGAGACTGATTGCCACCTTGCATGATCATAGCTCGGGAGACTGATTGCCACCTTGCATGATCTTAGCTCGGGAGACTGATTGCCACCTTGCATGATCTTAGCTCGGGAGACTGATTGCCAACTTGCATGATCTCAGCACGGGAGACTGATTGCCACCTTGCATGATCATAGCTCGGGAGACTGATTGCCACCTTGCTTGATATTCGCTCGGGAGACTGATTGCCACCTTGCATGATCTTAGCTCGGGAGACTGATTGCCACCTTGCAAGATCTCAGCTCGGGAGACTGATTGCCACCTTGCATGATCTCAGCAGGGGAGACTGATTGCCACCTTGGGTGATCATAGCTCGGGAGACTGGTTGCCACCTTGCTTGATCTAAGCTCGGGAGACTGATTGCCACCTTGCATGATCTCAGCTCTGGAGACTGATTGCCACCTTGCATGATCTCAGCTCGGGAGGCTGGTTGCCACCTTGCATGATCTTAGCTCGGGAGACTGATTGCCACCTTGCATGATCATAGCTCGGGAGACTGATTGCCACCTTGCTTGATCATAGCTCGGGAGACTGATTGCCACCCTGTGGGATCATAGCTCAGGAGAAATAGGAATTGACTGTAGTCTGGTCTTGTACCTCTGCCATCAAGTGTGTATTAGCAAGCGCCAAGCAGGCTGCAAGGCTCACAACTGGCTCCTACTTGTCTCCCTGTTTCGGGTGGCTATTGGCACACTACATTTGCAGTTTATTGCACTGAAGGAGCTAAAAATATGCTTTTCTTTGTAAAAAAGGTGATGAAAATTTGCGTGCTGACATTGTTGTGAGCACAAGCTCATGTCCAGCACCAGTGTACCTGAACACTTTCACCAACACACGGACACCATTCCTTATGATTGGTTTATCAACTACCCAAATTGGATCTTACTCTCCATGCCTCAACTCTGCGATGCGCAAGTTGCAATCAATGTTGAAAATAAACCCAGTAAACCCACATGAAAAGCAAGAAGAAAAGGTTACTTGTCAGAAGAGCTAAACGGGCTAGCAGGTGCAAACAGACACATATCAGTGTTCTCATTGGTCCTCGAGCTCCCATACAAACCACCAATCAGAGTGTTCACCCCATCAAGTTTGACAAATTGATCTACATAGAGCCCCGCAGATTACCATCCTCTTCGACATTGTGTTACTGGAATTTCCAATCAGCTTGCAACTAATGTGAGGACGTGACACCAACATGAACTGTAACATTGACGTCATGGTTTTAAGGGAAACATAGTTAAAAGTGTATGGTGACGACTCCAAAGTAGCCAGCATGACACCCCCAGACTACAAGTTAACACATCAGCCAAGATTGACACATGGAGGTGGACAAACATTTATCAGCAGGGAGAATCTTTGGTTGAATTTCGACAAAACTATACTTTTATGGAAAAATCACATACCATTCCGAGTGACCTAAGGCAAAAGACATTGTGGCACTATATCGTCCACCAGCATACAAAGAAGAACCAGTTATCTTATATAATGTTTTAGAGTCTCTAGAAAACACTGGAAATTATACATATGAACAGAACACGAAATGTGATTATTAGAGATACATGTATTAGCATCAACTTTGATGTAAAAATGAAAAGTGACATCTGCAAATGCTGAGTCTTCTTGAAACGCACAATTGTCACAGTCACAAGAATAGTCACATAATATATTAGGTTATCAAAAGAGAAATATCAATAAAATAGACACAGAAAGATTTCGAGCAGACCTTCCGAGAATCATCTTAATTAGCCGACCCTCCATCTGGATATGAAGACGAGTCTGAAATAACAAGGTGCGGCACATCCTTGTGGCAGGCCTTATGCTGACTAGCTCTTTTACTCATAGTTCAACAAAGCTCAAGCTGAAAGGAAGATGACGTATTACATGCCTTAAAATATTCTGTCAGTTCTACAGTCATCCAGAAATTAGGTCACGGTTGTTATAAACCTCTTATAAATGGGATTTGATTAACTCATGGAGAATAAATATGACTCCTATGCATTGTACAAACTGAGAAACCCCCACCAGATAAGGAATACACTCAACAGATTGTGCAGTCATTTGCAGATTACTTTCATGATAAAATCCACAGAATATGAGAGCTACTGATGCTCGCAGATTGGACTTCATTCTCTACAAATTGGAAATTCTCAGATTGTCTTGTCAACTTTTGTACAGCATTTAGGTGTCACTGTGGTATTGGACACAACTTGTGTTCCTTCAAATTAAAGAATAACGGTAATACATGTATCA